GTTACTTAATAAGGTATTTTATGCATAAATGACGGTTTACAATTAATTTATGTAGACATTTGTATACATATCTGTGTAAATTATACATAAATATACCAGATATATACAGCCAACACTAGTTATTCCTAGAGTCAATAATTGTGTCATAAATAATCATCATTACCTAAATTAATGAAGACGGCGATATTAGACAAAGATTTTCAGTCAATTAGAATGTGATGTAGCAGTGATAATTTATGCTAATATCAAGAACATTTGGCGGACGATAATGGGTCCTTTTTTATAATTTCTAATTCGGTAATTTTATGTGTTTTGACGTTATTTATTGTTATTATTATTTGTTTTTATGAATTCATTTTGTGCATAAAAGGTATCATAATTAATTACGAAAATAGATAAGAGCCTCTTTCTCGTACTAATTGGTCCGGACGTCCAGTGCAACAAATCTCGCGCTTTTTTTCACAACGAAACCTCTGATCTTCAAGTGGTAATAAAGTAGTACGTACATACATACGTACGTATAAACCTCTTGGCGATAATTAACACCTGTATTCATCTTAACAATTCACTTAAAAATTGGAATGTTTTGAAGAAAGTATGTGTAGTCGCATACAAAATGATGCACACACGTAAGAAAACGTACTTTCTACTCTGTCGTCCCATTATGATTCACGAAATTGTATTAATCGTAAATATGTACAAAATGCACAAAATACATAACTTTAATGTCACGTCAAGTTAAGACGTTAAGTTGCGTTAGAAATTGTCGTTTTCCTTACATTCTTACATAGGTGGATATTAAAATTTATCTGAAACTTTCTGTTTTCTCCTTGCGATATATGCTGAAATTTTTCGTACATTTTAAGACACGTCGGTTTCGAGAAATTCAAAGAGCTTAATGCAAAGCTTGTGTGTGCGTATAATTATTTAACAACTTTGCCTCTAAAGGTGTGCTCAGACTAAGCGAATATATTGACAGAACACAAACAAAAAGTTTTTAAGGTGCGTTAGTGTTTTGCTTAATGTTTAAAAAGTCAGTATTGGAAATATCATCATCGTAGGGGTGTCTGTCAATAACTAAAGTGAAAATTAAAGAATACTATTTTATATCTTTAATTATTGCTTTTAATAGTATTTCAGTTTTTAGATTAAATTTTGCCCTAAAACAAACACGCCAAGTGGCCTCGACGCGAAGCCGGTATTGCTTCTAGCCCTTCTTCATGTCTTAGACGCTGGCCTACCATCCTATCTCCCCTTTTTCTTATTGCCCTATGTCTTTTTCGAGTACGTCATAACTAACCTGTTCTATTCACGATATTTTTGTCTTCCCCCTATTACACCATATCTCAAAGGATTTCTTTATATTTAATTAGGTTTTACTCCTGACTTCTCTCGTGTTGATGTCCTAAGTACTTATTAAAGATGAACACGTAAAAGTAATTTTTCTATTCCCCGGAAACAGCTTTTTTTCCTGGATAAAAGGTACCCTATGTCCTTTTCTGTACCAGTGACAATGTGTCCACAAAATTTCGTGACTATCGGTTAAGTAGTTAAGGCGTGAAATAGTAACAAATAAACAAACTCACGTTCACATTTATAATATTAGTTTATATTTTTGGAGAAAAGCGGAAGGCAGTGACTATTATTCGTTCGCTCGAAAGGTACCTTATCAATAAGATGTGAAATGAGGTCTGTGATGCGTACATGTACGTTGTACATATTTATTTAACATGCAGGGTGTTTATAAATTGTGTTATCTTCTTCATTTATGGCGTTTTCTTTGAACTGATCGTGAACGGGATTCTTTTCCGAATCAGGTGCGATATGCCTATTTAGTTATCTACCTTCTTGTTTGTTGATGTTCAGAATCAGTCGTATTATTATGTATAATACATATATTAAACGCATATAATGTTGCATGTTGTGAGGTCAATGATCATTTTTATCTACTACCTTCGTTACATTCTTACAGGAGGTGGATTAAAACAAGATATTTTAAGTAACTACAGTATATTACACTTATGTATACCGTATGCGAAAATGCTTATCTTGGCATAAGTTATAATATGCCGCTCATATCGTGCGAAGACACATATATGCCGCATGCAGAGATATGGTTTATTTGAAATACTTGCATTTAAAATGCAAATACATAATAAAAAATATTTAAACGTATTTTCTATTTGTAAAATGCAAAATACATTTTTGCCATTAAATGTTTTGCTAGTATCACCAATCAAACATTATATAAAATGATGAATGGGAGTTGCCCACGTTGGCTATTGAAGGTATTAGAAGCTTTAAAGGGGGACAAAGAGACATTCCATTAATGCCTTCTGATTCTTTAACTGAAGAAAGCTAAAAAAAAATTAAACTCCTTGGAAATGGATAATCTAAGATATTGGATGAATGCATATAATGTAAAATTCTTAGAATACGATTCTAAAATCTTCACTTATTAGATGAACCCAAAGCTATAGGAACTATGGATTCCAATTCTTTCTCTTATTACAATGTGTAAAAGATTAGAAACAAAATGGGTTTGTAAATATTTTGATATGAAATGATTGATGGTGATTTTAAATCAATAAAATACATTTGAAATAACAAATCAAAAAAGTATTCGCATTTTGTATTTAAATACTTTTAAAAAACCATTTTGCACATCTCTATCCCTATGGTATATCTAGGAACGAGAATTCGCATAGTGTATGGTTTCGTTATTACTTGAGCTAAAGTTCACTCTTATGCTACCGGTATATTTCGCAGCCAAGCTGACATTTTCTAATACAGCTAGGAAAACGGCACAAACGGCTAACTGAACATTTAGCGGTTGTATATATATATATATATATATTCTCCTTCCTAAAAGTCAGCTTCCAGAGGTCACATGATACTTCAGCTGAACGTTTAGTTAATCTTTAACGAAAATAGCCTTGCAGTTTTCTGTTAGTTACTTAGGCGTATTTGAAAATGCCGAAATTTATAAATTGATGTTTTAGTTATTTTTTATATTATTATTCGGAATGACATAGTTGTACTTACCAGTAATTGGGTATATCTCTAGCACCAGTCGTTTTATCTTTAAATCGTTTAATTGCACCATTTATTTATTTTTTGTCATACGCTGCTTACACAGTGGCGTAATGTCAGTAAATGAACGAAAGTTGATGTATTTAAATGAAATTTACATATTGTATACTTTACGTCTGATGAGTCATTTTCTTATTAAACTCAATTTGCTATGTCGAGAGGACATTTAATCGTAAGCTTAATACAAATTAGGAAAAGCCCGGCAAATGTTAGTACAACTGTAAATTAAGCGTGAAAA